TTTATACTACCAAAATTATTGTTATTTTCTTTTTGTAAGTTTTTGATTTCTCTTTGATAAAATATATTCCATCTGTTGAAGAATTAACGAATAATACTTAAAGTTATTGTGATATTTTAAAATTTATTAAAGTATTGAGGGAATGCCACACATCTGATACTTTCTGAGGATGAAAGACTAGAGATTGAATGGAGTTAATATAAGCACTGTATTAATGTAGATATTTATCTCATTTTTCTTTCCAGCAAAATAGCTTATACACATTGTCAAAGAAGAGCTATGGTTAGAATAAATAACAAGAAATCTCTATCCACTTGTTGTAGAGCTTTAATTTGTCAAAGAGAATGTAATAGTGAAAGAGTTTTGAAGGTGAGACGAGTAGACTTAAGAATGGTTCTAGACTAGATGATTGGGTATATGAAACGCATCTCAGCACAGACTTTGCCTAAACTTAACAGAATATGCAACCCTTCTATCGTCTGAAGAAATGTGACAGTATATTCGACTTTACTTAGTTTGACTGCAGCATTCTAACATTTTTACGTTAACCACAGGAGGATTTCATCAAAATACTTCTTTGGCAAAGACTCATCAGGAAAATTTGGAATTACATAAAGAAAACTTAGACCTAAGAAGACAATTAGCAATTTTCTTAAATCGTTCTAATGAATTTTCTCTTGAATGTACTTGTTTGGAAAATAAATTGACACAGCTTTCTTCTCTTTTAACCTATAGAAAGAAACGATTTGATAGACTTAAAGAAGATTATTAACAGTATAGAGAAGAGTTACGTTTACTCTGAAAAGAAGATCATTCAGAAGATCTCCAAAAAATACAAGAATTGAATCATCTAGTTGAACAACTTCACCATAATTATGAGCAATCTCTTGATCATCAACATGCTGAAAACTTGAGAAAATAACTAGGTAAACTGCGCTTCCTGTTTTACCAGAGTTTTAATAATACAGTTTACAAGATTGTTAGCATAGTGAGGCTCAAGGAATAGTCATTTAAAGGAATTTTCTTCCCTAGACATGGAATGCGAGTATATCACTCCCTGCTAACTTTTACAATATCTTCTTTTATTTATAATAGATAATTTACATCAAATTTTCTTTGATTTCTCCAAGAAAAAGATCTTCTCAAATGGTGGTGTAGAATATAGATTTTGTGTGAGATTTTGCCATCCTTGTACGAATTAAGTATAATTTTCTTTTAATGTTCATTTCATGACCAAATATTATAAATTTTTACTTGAGAGGGATGCCGTACGCTTCGACTGACCTTGAACTATGCTTGTCGTACGCTTCAGCTATTCATGAGTCTAAGCTTCCCTTCCTCTCTTTTGTAGCAAAATATTTTTGTTGTTAATATAGTTTTCTAAAATAGTTTTCTCTATAAGTCTTTTTATCTTTGTTTTCTTCAAAAATTATGTATTTTCCAATATTTAATAAAATTTTGCATATCATCGCACTTTTGCTTATTTAAAATTTTATAATTCGTTATATGTTGTCAAATGTCATTATTCCACGTGATATATAAAATTAAGTAAAATAAAATAATAATAAAAAAAATAAAATCTCTATATCTTTTCCAATAAAATTCTTTTTCCATTAGCCAAATGATTTCTTCATCAGACTTTACGACCTTAGGGAATTTTTACATCCTATAGGTATCTGGAATCATTTGTTAAAAACTTTCATGCTTTTTACTAGGCTTAGTAATAACCTCCACAGATTTTTCTACGGGATCGGTGAAAACCCAAAACCCTTACTTTCATTTAAGGCTCAGTAGTAACCCTTTTTCCTTGATAAAAATAAAATTAAAAATTACTACATTTTTCAATTATCTCAACATCTAGTGCTCCAATTTAAATGAAACAAATATAATTGTGATGCTTGACATATGACGGTTCCGATGATCCAAAAATTATAAAATTCCGATCAGTCGAAGTTGAAATAATGGCGTCCGTAACATTCGTATTAGATTTGCATTATAATATCTTCTTTTATCCAATAGGAGTATTGGTTAAAACATGTGACTTATACCAGACTTTATGTAACTAAAATGTTACATAAGCTCTCACAGGGTTGGTGAAGGTAATAACTATTTAATGAGACTTTGTGTAACCTTTATGTAACTTAAGATCAAAGTTTCACTCTCGTCTCTTAAAATTTCAACTTGGTTTACTTTTCTTCTTAGTATTGTTCTGGCAGGAATCACCACTTTGTCACTGGGAATAATCTTCTCTTATTACTTCACGTAATATATCTAAGTTTCTTTACTGTAGTTAATAACTTCCTTATTGTCGGACTTTACAACCTTAAGAAATCTTACGTTCTACAGGTATCTGTAATGCTTTGGAATTATTTTACTTGGTTTACGAACTTAAGGGTTTAAGGACTTAGGAAATTTAGAGAATTATTTATTCTAAATGACGAACTCAATTGCAAGTTAGGCTGAACCAATTTAATTATCTGTTTTACATTTCCTTTCTCCTTGAATTTCTAAAATAATATGAAAAAAAATATACTCACATAATCAAAATTCCAACTAATAAAAACGTTTATTATATCATGTGAATATTATATTCATCGATCTTCACACTGCTTAAACTTTAATTTTTTTTTTGTAAAGTGCGAAAAATGCAACAATGCATGTCGCGTTCTTTAAAATATACACTTGGTGTTTTGTTTTACATAACACAACATTGTAAAAAATGTTTATAATTGTTCAAGTAAATGAGGGTGCTAAAATTATAAACGGACCTTTAGTAAAAGAAGTAGAAGAAAGCAGTTTGTTTTCAACCTTATTTGATTCAATAATTTCTGAAAACTACTTTTACCAAAATGTATGTGTAGAAGTTAGAAAAACAGAAACTGGACCTTGGATACCAGTGCATGAAGGGTTGAAAGGTAAACTTTTATTAATGAAAACATTGGGATTTATATATCTCAAATATATTCTTCTTTCAGATGATTTTACTACACCTTTATCACAAATATATACCCCTAATGCTTTTACAAAGTTAATGGATTTCAGACATCAACTTCCAGCACAAAAACGTGAGGACACACATGAGATATTATTATATAATCAAATTATTCAACTTTTCCAAAGTAAATGCATTGGTTGGCTTGGAAATGATCACAATACTTGTGGAAAATGATTTATTGAATGTTTAACCAAAGCTATATGGTATATAGACCCACACTTAGAAAAATTATGCTTAAGAGGATGTCACCTTCCATTATTATTTAGTTCTCTTTCAGTTTATCAGAAAAATGGTATTTATAATGAATACTATCAGAGAATGAAAAAAAAACCACAACTTACATGCTTAGAACTCTTTCAATTAGCTAATTCTATGAAGCTTTCTTTAGCTGAACCTTGGGCATCTAAAAATTCTTGGCAAGAAATTATATTAAATGTTTTTGAGCTTACATCCATGATGAAGAAATATTTTGATCATCTTGAAAACACTAATAATAATATGAAAACTCTTCATGAAAGTGAAAATCCAGCGCGTGAACCATTTACTAATTGTAATATTCAGCTTATTTCTAAATGTAATAAAGTGGAAATTGATTTAAAATATTATAGTTTAGGTTCCGATCTTGCAAATAGATAATTATTTGATTTTGTTGATCTCAATTTATATGTACCAGATGATCCTATAAAAAAACATGATTTTATTCGTAATATCCAGTTATCTGTACTTACAGGATTATATAGGTGAGATTCTTTTTAAAATTTAAATTAACAATTATGCGTATTAGAATTATTTATATTAAAATCATTCATTTTTTTTAGATATCCTCATGGTAATTATTTTGGAACGCTAAATTTTATATGGAGAGAACCTGATAATGAAATTAACGAAGATTATGAAACTTTTAAATCACAGATAATCATTCGTATCAATAATATAATACCGATATATTGTACAAGACAAATGAGAAAAAACGTGTTTCAAAAGGTATATTAAGCATGATTAATTTATATAAATTTTTTTATTAATTAAAAATTTAACAAACTTTTTTTTTTTTAGTATTCTTTAATTCGTAAACTTTTAAAACCAATACTTAAAATGCTATACCATGATCTAACTGGCAATGCTTCATTGGCAAATGATCAAATAAGTAAAGAAATAGAAGAAAGATTATGTTTTATAATGTTATTAGAAGATCCTTCTATAATAATTGATTTAAGGACTAATAATAGATTCCAAGGATCAAAATTTGACATATTTTAGGATGAACTTAATAGATATTTTAATGAGGTTATTAAAAATTTTTTAATTTATATATTCTAATATTCTTAGTATTAAAATTTATTATTTTTTATTTATATTTTAGCACAATAATACGGTTGTTAATAAATGTCAAATAGATGTTACTCTATATATTCCATATGCTATATCAATACGAGAGTTGCAAAACAGAATTATTACTTGCTTAAATGTAATATATCAAGGACCTCCTTTACCAAGTGATATTTTTATTCTGTCAGAAGAGTGGATTAGATTGAATTTTGCATCATCCAATGCGTATACTACCAAGGCCATACAGCATACTGGGTGTTTTAATGTAAAATATAAAGTGCAATCACAATTATTACAAAAATCCAGTGAAAATGAACATTATTGTTGCACTTTATTTAAATATGAACGTGAATTCAATATTGAATATCGAGATTATGCATGTTTTATCTCAGCAGATGATAAGCACAAAGTGCCTATTGAAGAGGATGTACCAGTATCTAGGGTTCCTCAAAATCGAATCGAATCAAATATTTAAGCAATTTGAATTTGATTTGATTTTTTCAAATCGAATCG